ATTGTAAAGATTTTAAATCTGTTAGGGTAATTTTTGACTGAATTATAAAGCACTGTTAAGTATTCAATTTACTTCTTTTATAGAAAATTATTTATTCCCTACTAAATATTTGACATATATTTACATGATAATGAATTATGTGACGTGTACCCCAATTTATCACAGGATATAGCACAATATACAGGAATAAATTACAGGGTTGGACACCAGAACGCAGTTATATCAACAAGGGGAAACTGTAGACCATTTGCCATCCGGAATCAAAATCACTGAATAAAGTCACTCAAGTGTGTTACTATAACATGATCTTGATTAACAAGATTTAAAAATTAAACTTTCATTTGACGCAAATTTAACGAAACCCTGGGAATAATTTAGAGGTGAATTTGCGAAATTCTAGAAATTAATCTTCATGACTTTTTTTTCTCTCTTTTCTGAATTACTTGGATTTTTTTTATTTTTTCTGGTATGTAATACACGATACTTACATAATTTAGTCACACACACACACACACCCTCACACACACACACACACACAGATATATATATATATATATATATATATATATATATATATATATATATATATATATATATATATATATATATATATATATATATATATAAAGCACTAAAAACCAACAACACTGTATATCCTAAGTGTCGGATCTACTAAGTAGATACAAGGTCACGGATGGAAATTTATATAAAGCACTAAAAATGACCAACGACACGAACAATAATAATTGTCAAATTTTCGGGACAACCTGTCCCTTCCTCAGGACAAAGAAAAAAGTTAAGAAGTCATAAAAACAAAGGAAATAGAGAAGCAAAAACAACTAGCACTACTACTAAACTACCAAACACTAAATATTTACAATGTTACATGTTTAATTTGGAGTTTATAAACAGTTGTGAACAAAGAAATCCGGAGCGCTATGAATATAGATCTAGTGTTCCTCTCTCCGAATCGGAGACCTCACTTCTTTCCAAGGGGCTGAATTTCTGTCCCACGCCACATGAGGTCGACGAAAAACAAGTCAGAGAGGACACCCGAGCTTTCTTTCGGAGACTTCGGTTGAAGGAGCACTTTTCTAGGAAAAACTCCGAAGTTGACTCATATGACTCTTCTCAGCCACAATTGCACGACCTAGAGGAACACAAACTCTATCGGCCAAAAAGTGACTGGGAACCTGCACCGGGCAAATGCGGAGCCCTTGAGTCGTATATTGACGCCGTTGAGTCAGACATAGAGAAACTCCTTTCAATGCCAGACAAGGCTCCCGACAATTTGAGTAAGGAAGAGAGATCCGCCTTACAATCATTAAAGAATCGGGATGACATTGTAATCAAGAAAGCAAAGGCTCTACATTAGTAGTACTTGATAAAGAGACGTACATGGCGGAGGCCCATAGACAACTCTCAGACGAACGTTTCTATAAGAAACTGGACTCTGACCCTACTAAAGAATTCTCCACCGCCATCACCAGAACTCTTGACGAAATGTTTGAGAAAAACGAGATTGGTATCAACGTCTATGAGACACTCAATCCTATTGACTGTAGACCAGGACAATTTTATCTGCTTCCTAAGATACATAAAGAAGGTATGCCAGGTCGCCCTATAGTTAGCGCTATTGGACACCCCACGGAGAAAATTTCTGAATACATCGATTTACATCTCCGTCCACACGTAGAGAATTTGCCATCCTATCTCAAGGACACCACGGACTACCTTAACAAGACGCCCTCTACTGGCCTTCCAGATCATACCCTTCTCGTGACTATGGACGTCACATCTTTGTACACCAATATTCCGCACGATGAGGGTATCGAAGCCTGTAGAGAAGTCTGGGATAGTAGATCCATACAAATTCCTTCTACCGAGTCCCTTGCCAAGCTCCTTGAACATGTTCTCAAGTATAACAACTTCATGTTTAATGGAGAACATTACCTGCAGGTTAATGGCACTGCTATGGGTACGAAAATGGCACCATCTTATGCCAATATTTTCATGGGCAGACTGGAACGCAACTTGCTACTTCAAGCACCATTTAGGCCCCTTAGCTGGTTGCGTTTCATTGACGATATAGAGATGAAGTGGGTGGAATGTCGCGAGAGCCTCGAGGCATTCATTTCGTTTGCCAACACCTTTCATCAGTCTATCAAATTTACAGTAGACGTATCTAATTCGAAAAACATATTCCTAGATATTACATCTACCCTGACTGATGGTGAAATCGAGTTCAGTCTCCACACGAAACCCACAGATTCCCATCTGTATCTTATGCCAACTATCTGTCATCCCCCACACACATTTAAGGGTGTGCCTAAGGGTCTAGCCACCAGAATTCGGCGCATCTGTTCATCCCCCGCCTTATATCAAGAACAAAGCGGTCTCCTTAAGTCCCACTTATGCAAGAGAGGCTACAATGCCCACACCGTACAAACTGCTATTGATGAGATGGCGGGACATGACAGGCAAAACCTATTACGCTACAAGGAAAAAGACAATAGCGACAGGGTCCCTCTGGTAACCACATACCATCCCGTCATTAAGAACCTCAGCGGTATCCTTCAAAAGAATCTGCCAATTCTCCACTCAAATAAACGAATGGCAGAGGTCTTTAAGGAGCCCCCATTGGCTGCATACAGACGCTCGAGGAACCTAAAGGACATGGTAGTAAGAACCAGATTGGACAATCCATTACCTAACGGGGGCTTTAAAACTTGCTCTGACAGAAGATGTCTTCTCTGTAAGTACAGCTCTGACACAGACAGTTTTCACAGCCCCGTTACAGGCTGCAGCTACAAAATACTAGGGAATTTGTCCTGTCAAACAGACAACTGCATTTATCTCATCAGTTGCAAAGTTTGCTCCAAATAGTATGTTGGTGAAACAGGAGATCTCCGCAGGAGAGTCAATAATCACCGTTCTACCATTAGGACCAAAAACCTCAATGAACCCGTTGGGGAACATTTCAACCTTGAAGGTCACAAATGGGAGGACATTACAGTAGTGGTTATTAACCATAATCCAAGATGGACAGACGCGCAGAGAAAAGGCAAGGAAAAGTTCTGGATGCACAGGCTGAAGTCATTCCGCCCTAATGGTATTAACAAACTTAATGACTTCACCAGGATGAACGTGAACTAGACCCAATCCCGGATTGTAACAAACAAGTTCATTCTCTCTATATAGTGTAAACTTTACCGTTAATTCGTTTTAGCAATCCTGGAACAACCTACCCAAATATTTACAGCTTACATTTTTGTTTATTTCTTTTTTTCCGATTTCCAAATTTATAATATATCCAAATTCATATTTCAAAATTGTCCTTCCATATTATCTTTCTTTAATTTCTTTTTATCATGTAGAGTGACGCTATTTGAGAGAATAAGACAATGTACGATTTACTGTTGGTCGTAATTAATTAGCGATAATTAATTCGTTCAATTATGTAAATCACACTTCACCAGCGTACACCCGATAGACCGGACGCAATTCATAGCGCTCCGGATTTCTTTGTTCACAACTGTTTATAAACTCCAAATTAAACATGTAACATTGTAAATATTTAGTGTTTGGTAGTTTAGTAGTAGTGCTAGTTGTTTTTGCTTCTCTATTTCCTTTGTTTTTATGACTTCTTCACATTTTTCTTTGTCCTGAGGAAGGGACAGGTTGTCCCGAAAATATGACAATTATTATTATTCGTGTCGTTGGTCATTTTTAGTGCTTTTAGTGCTTATATATATATATATATATATATATATATATATATATATATATATATATATATATATATATATATATATATATATATATATATATATATATATATATGGAATTTTCAGCTTGAATGCTGTTTGTTATTTTCATATTTTATTCACAATTACCAAGATTATTCACAATTACCAAGATTATTTTTACAATTAAAAAAAACCCAACCATTGTGAGTGGAAAAATGTACCTCCTGAGAAATTAAGTTCGATTACCGCTAAGTCTGCCTTAAATCTTCATAGTCAGTAGGCTTTTTTTTTTTTTTTTTTTGTTTTAACTTTCACTGGTTTGAGTTCATATCTTTACTAAATTCTAAACCTGTAACACAGGTGACGTTTCGATATGAGAGAAGCAGGAACATAAATGAATGTATATATCCATACATGTACGTACAGTCAGTCTTCCAACACAACAACTTAAATACTTATAATATAACTTTAACATAATTATAATAATCCATGTATAGAACTTATATATAGATTGTTAACTGTTTTCCCTTTGGAAAGAATGAAGAGCTTAGATGTCTTTAAATATTTTCTTAAAAATAATTTGCTAGAAGTTTTTAAATCCATATGACATGTGCATTTCAATCTGCTACGAGAGTGGTCACGTGATCTCCTTATATGCATTGCAATCACTGTTCGAACACGATATTGATTTATTTTGACATGATCTCTTTTGAAACATCAATGTTTAAAATTAATTTTTGAATTTAAAAGGTTTCGTTTTTGTACGTTCATTAGACGTCTTCGGATCTCACCAACCGGTGACGAGTTTCTATTAAGTATTGCATGTAATAACGCTCCCGTTGGACATGGTTGACCTTTGACCCAATATCGTCAACCAGAGGAGACATGTAGCTTGGGATCAGAAACATTAGAATACACTATCATTACAGACTTTCCTTTGAGTGTTTACGTAGCCGCTTAACTTTTCTATCGTTAAATAAACTCTCAGCGACGAGGGATCTTTGAAAGTTTTATGTTATTATAAATATTTACTATTTGTTCGCTCCTGACCGACGTAAAGTAGATGTTCCAGTAACGAATATCTGGTCCTGGATGGAAGTGTTTTATGTGTGGGATAACGCCAGCTCTTTAGCCATATGTTATCAAAAGGCATAAATAAGCCATGCCTAGGTCCTACGTCATAACTCTCACCCGCTTTTGTAAAATATAAATAGCGAAACCCCGAACGGTGACCGCACACTAATTCCCGAATGATTGACAGCTAGGTTCTAGACGTACAGACAACATAATTTACTAATAATCAGTTATTATAAAGTAGGTCAATTGATTTTGATGTACGAGGATAAAGAGTGCACGATTCTGCAGTTGAGGAATGAACTTTCACCCTCTGTTTGAGAGCCGCTGAAAAATCCCTCAACGAATCTCTGTATTCTCACGGTTGAGGGTCGGTGCTCCGCTCGCGGGACCCCGGGATATAGTGTTTAACTTACCTGGATTTTTTTACCTGAGTTTTATCTACCCAGTACACCTGTCATTTTCAGTGTATGCTCGTACAGTGAAACACAGGTAGGCCGTTTTAATTTATATCTCTGATTTAAAAGTCCTCAAAATAAAAACAAAAGTTCTGAATTTGATTTAATGTCAAAATGCTTTTCAAATATAGGCCAAATTTCATTTGACTAAATTTCATGCGAAAATAACAACAATAAAAACTGGCGATGTTATATGTATTTTTTTTTTCTACAAGAAGAGATACCTGCACGATATATACTCTTATGATTTACTCGGTCTCGGAAAAAAGCGAAACTTCAAGGTAATTAAGGCGGAAGTATGTTTGGTAATCAATTATAATTCTAAAACAGTATGTTTTCGAAGATCAAGAAGTGTATTGTGGTCACAACGTACTAAGTCTTGTGTATGTGAAATCACATCGAACGTTCGTCATTGTAATTTTGTTTTCAAGTCGTAGAAAGTCTGTTTTGGAGTATTAATCGAATTTGTATTTAAAAATGATGAAAATCTCTCTCTCTTTCTCTCTCTCGTAATTTTCTTCAAATATTAAAATTTTTAGATCATTGGTTAGAATGCATGACTATCATTCGATATGAAATAATAAAGCATTTTCTTTTAGATTTTCAATGTCAATAATATATTCAGATATTGCGCCTAAAAGAATGTTAAAACGATTAAAATTATATATCTTTTCGAGGAATCCACAATGACAAATGCATTTCTTGAGTGTATGGTATAGATCTGATATCTTGATAACAGGGGGGTGCGCTATTTGTTTTAATGCCTCGTGTAATATATGTACTTACGAATGCAGTAATGATATTAAATTTTTTGCATTGTGCAGACTGTGCAAACATGGACCCATTAAGCTGGTCTGGAATTTCCGCACTGAATACATTTTGTCTGTAGAACTAGTCTCTTTAAAATACGCTATTTGTTTTCACTTGAAAATTGATATATAAGCATTCCGCGACCGTTTGTAAAACATCAAAAGATTATATATCTATGCCTTCTTACTGATAAAGTCAATAACGAGACTGAAATCTCGTGCTTTCTCGCGCGAGTCTGATCTTTATTGACAGCAGTAGACACTCATCTATTCAAAAATGTAGGGATGATACGTCAAATAGATAATGAATTGAATAGAATTTCATGTGAAAAATACCAATTAAATAATTATCCTCATCTCTGCTGGGGGCGTGCTGTGACATCGAACTACGACCATCCCCGAACATTTGAATGCTTTGAAGTACACTGTAAGGATTTAGGAATAACGGGGGTTTGCAGCGTAAATAAAATGTACAGTGATAGATATACATATGTACGAGCGTTGAGCTTAGGAACTTCAAGGTAATCTATTGATAAAGTGTGTGACACGCAGTGGGGGTAACTGTCATTAAGGGCACATTAAACACAATCAGCTGCCCGGTAAACACGTGTTAAGTGGCAGGAATCCGGATTATCTGAAGCTATGTATACTATCTAATGTCTTTTTTGGTCACTTAAATATTCAACCGTCCCATTTCTATGAATTTAAAAATCAATGGGCGGATCCAGGAGAGAGATATGAAAGTGGGTTATTGAACTCGCTTCCCCTTAGTCACACACAAAAAAAATGTTATATCAGTAAATTCACAAAGTAACAAAACCTCTTTTAATATCCCTGGACTCCCATAACCCCTCTCGAAATACGAATTACCAAAATATTTATCAGGACATTTTCAAGACTTATGCCGACAGTGAAAATAACCTACAATAGCCGATCACACTTGATTCATTAGAAAGGTTTAGCAATCCAATGTGTGCGCGAACTGGTACATGTACATGCTCGTGTAAATAATTAACTTTAGTGTTGAAAAAGACAAGCCATTCAATAAAATTCAACAAACTTTGTTGTAGGAATTAATTCGTCATTAGCAAAAATTATGACGCAATGCACAGATTTCCTGGTTGAAATCTCCTGGTACACGTGCACGTGAGTGTACTATTTGCTAAACCTCTTTTATTGATTCAGCCAATCACAATTATATACAGTCAAATAATTTAATTTTGGCTGTAAAGCGTCATTTGATTGGATAAAAAATTAGTTTATATCGTTTCACCTGTGTTGCCTAAATCACAATGTTTACGTCAAAAACGCATCAATCCGCTTGACTTGTACAATTTGAAGGCATTTTTGAAGGATAAGTTGTATCTTATTTTCGACACTTAATGATGGTAAATTAAATTATAAGGAATGAATTTAATAGCTACCCAATTTATACGGTATAAAGAGGGTTAATTGGAACAGTTCACACTTTTTTTATAAACCGCTTTGCGGTTTGTAAAGCGTAAACTGCCTCACCCCAGGTTACATGTATTCAGTATAACTTGGGTAGCTATTAAATTCTTACCTTAAAAATATCAAATTACAAGCCAGTCAAATTTATACACGCATCATAGCCTCAGCAAATCAAACACATATCTACGTATGACACAGTGTCATCCATTCACACACATACATGAATGTCAAGTCTCTGCCCATCACACTTGCATATAAAAATATGATATAAAAGTAATAGTTTTTTTTCTTGTATACACATGTATGTCATAGGGTCAGCCTATCACAATTATATACACTTACAGTATGTCATAGTCTCAACTCATCACAGTTATATACACTTACAGTATGTCATAGTCTCAACTCATCACAATCATATACATGTACTTACAGTATGTCATAGTCTTAACTCATCACAATTATATACACTTACAGTATGTCATAGTCTCAACTCATCACAATCATATACATGTACTTACAGTATGTCATAGTCTCAACTCATCACAATTATATACACTTACAGTATGTCATAGTCTCAACTCATCGCAATCATATACACTTACAGTGTGTCATAGTCTCAACTCATCACAATTATATACACTTACAGTATGTCATAGTCTCAGTCCATCACAATCATATACACTTACAGTATGTCATAGTCTCAACTCATTACAATTATATACACTTACAGTATGTCATAGTCTCAGGTCATCACAATTATATACACTTACAGTATGTCATAGTCTCAGCTCATCACAATTATATACACTTACAGTATGTCATAGTCTCAACTCACCACAATTTTATACACTTACAGTATGTCATAGACTCAACTCATCACAATTATATACACTTACAGTATGTCATTGACTCAACTCATCACAATTATATACACTTACAGTATGTCCTAGTCTCAACTCATCACAATTATATACACTTACAGTATGTCATAGTCTCAACTCATCACAATCATATACACTTACAGTATGTCATAGTCTCAACTCATCACAATTATATACACTTACAGTATGTCATAGACTCAACTCATCACAATTATATACACTTACAGTATGTCATAGTCTAAGTCCATCACAATTATATACACTTACAGTGTGTCATAGTCTCAACTCATCACAATTATATACACTTACAGTATGTCATAGTCTCAACTCACCACAATTATATGCACTTACAGTATGTCATAGACTCAACTCATCACAATTATATACACTTACAGTATGTCATAGACTCAACTCATCACAATTATATACACTTACAGTATGTCATAGTCTCAACTCATCACAATTATATACACTTACAGTATGTCATAGACTCAACTCATCACAATTATATACACTTACAGTATGTCATTGACTCAACTCATCACAATTATATACACTTACAGTATGTCATAGTCTCAGGTCATCACAATTATATACACTTACAGTATGTCATAGACTCAGCTCATCACAATTATATACACTTACAGTATGTCATAGTCTAAGTCCATCACAATTATATACACTTACAGTATGTCATAGTCTCAACTCATCACAATTATATACACTTACAGTATGTCATAGTCTCAGTCCATTACAATTATATACACTTACAGTATGTCATAGTCTCAACTCATCACAATTATATACACTTACAGTATGTCATAGTCTCAACTCACCACAATTTTATACACTTACAGTATGTCATAGACTCAACTCATCACAATTATATACACTTACAGTATGTCATAGTCTCAGACCATCACAATCATATACACTTACAGTATGTCATAGTCTCAACTCATCACAATTATATACACTTACAGTATGTCATAGTCTCAACTCATCACAATTATATACACTTACAGTATGTCATAGTCTCAGACCATCACAATCATATACACTTACAGTATGTCATAGTCTCAACTCATCACAATTATATACACTTACAGTATGTCATAGTCTCAACTCATCACAATTATATACACTTACAGTATGTCATAGTCTCAGTCCATTACAATTATATACACTTACAGTATGTCATAGTCTCAGTTCATCACAATTATATACACTTACAGTATGTCATAGTCTTAACTCATCACAATATTGAATATCATGTCCCTTGAAAATGTTATCTTTTAAATTTTTTTATTCGATTTCAATAAGGTACACGCGTATGATGTGTAAAATATAAATTCTAAAATTATAGAATTTATTTTAGTTCCAGAATTGAAAAAAAGTGACGTATCTAAGGCATCTGATAAATGTGACCATTTGCACTTGACTAGACAGATTGTAAAAAAGATTGCTATATTTTTTTTTAAACATTGAACGATTTAAGATAGAATTTTAAATATACACGATTCACTTTTCATGCTGTACAAAGTATGTTTCTGCATTTCCGCAAGATTATTTTTTTTGATAGCTCAATAACGGGAGCTTCGGGAAAAATGGGTGTGTATAAATACAATTTTAGGCAATGGTAATTCATTCATGAGGATGCACACTTAAGTGCCATTTTCTTTGCTTCCTCTTACATGATCGAGTTAATTAAAACTTCAACTCTATGATCATATTCCTAAAAGGAATACTTGTTTTTGAGTAACAAAAACATTTTAAAAATTGTCCAGAAAATCTTTACCGTACGTTATTTCTGATGTGAGGCACTTTTGTAGCTTTATCAGGTTATCAGTGAATGTCCTTTTTTCTCCATTTATTTAATGGATTGTAAAAAA